GGATGGGACTGGAGGAGATTATGCTAAGTGAAATAAGTCAAGGAGAGAAAGTCAATTATCATATGGTTTCACTTATTTGTGGAACATAAGGAATAGTATGGAGGACATTAGGAGAAGGAAGGGAAAAATGGGGGTGGGAATTGGAGGGAGAGATGAACCATGAGAGACTATGGGCTCTGAGAAACAAACAGGGTTTTAGGGGGGAGGGGGGATTGGTTAGCCCGGTGATGGGTATTAAGGAGGGCATGTACTGCATGGAGCACTGGGTGTTACGCAAAAACAATGGATCGTGGATCACCACATCAAAAACCAATGATGTATGATGACTAACATAATAAAATTTAAAAAAATTAAAATTATAAAATAAAAATTAAAAAAAAAAAACGAAAGAAAGACTGTTGTTGTCTTGGACTAGTAGTGAAGGTCCATGCAAGAGACATTTATTTCATCAGAAGTGTTGGAGGCTAGCATTTTTTTTATTGTTGGAGAGGAATAAGGTAGTCTAGGTTTGCAGAACAGCTTGAGCAAAGGAGAAGAGGTAGTCATTAAAACTGGCTTCACATATGATCCCAGGGTCCTGGGATTGAGCCCAGCCTTGGGCTCCCTGCTCAGTGGGGAGTCTGCCTCTCACTCTCCCTCTGCTCATCCTGTCTTTCTCTCACTTGCTCACTCTCAAATAAATAAAATCTTTAAAAAAAAAAAAAACAAAACTTTGAGATAAAACTGGCTTTGCAGTAGTGTGAAGAGTGGAGAACAAGGGGTGCCTGGGTGGCTCAGTGGTTATGCATCTGCCTTCAGCTCAGGTCATGATCCCGGGGTCCTGGGATCGAGTCCCACATCAGACTCCCTGCTCAGTGGGGAGCCTGCTTCTCCCTCTCCTCCCTGCTCGTACTCTCTCTCGCTATTTCTGTAGCTATCTCTCTCTCAAATAAATAAAAATCTTAAAAAAAAGAAAAAAAGAGTGGAGTTTGAGGATTTGAGGTCTAGAGTGTGAAGAAGACACATTTAGAAAAAGAATGTTTGATTGCCACACTGAGGAAAGTGCCTAAGTAGGCAGAGGCCATTGCAGATACTGAAACAGCAAAAATATTTTTTGTATTTGAGTTCTAAGAACTGCTCGGTGGGCAGTCTGCCTCTTGCTGTCCTTCTGCTAGTGCTGTCTCTCTCTCACTTGCTCACTCTCAAATAAAACCTTTAAAAAAAAAAAAAAAGACTTTGAGATAAAACTGGCTTTGCAATAGTGTCAAGAGTGGAGATCAAGGGGCGCCTGGGTGGCTCAGTGGTTAAGCGTCTGCCTCGGCTCAGGTCATGATCCCAGGGTCCTGGGATTGAGTCCCACATCAGGCTCCCTGCTCAGTTCTAAGAACTCAAATGGAAGAGACAAGAAGCAAGTATGCCAGCCGTGGCTTTGCAAAATCTGAAACGAAGGATTGTAAGAACGTGAACTATGAGTTTGAGAATGGAAGGGAAGGGGTATGGGAGAGTTTATATCCTACAGATTTCCCTTCGGTAACCAGATCTAACCAACTTCCATCCAACATCCATTTAGAATATCATGGCCGTTTGGACACTTCAATATACTTCAGATGCGTGTTATCAATCTCCTAACCTAGAAGTCCAAGAGGGCACAGAATAAGCATGGTGCATTCTCACCAGGAATGTAAGTTTTTATCAGGTAGAGAATATAAAACAAGGCCTTTTAACAAAACACCATGGCTACAAGAGAAAAATTAAAATACACAAAAGAGTTTAGCCCCTAAAATAAGACGTCAGGTTTTGTGCTTGGGCCATATTCTCAACTTCCTGTGGACATAAGATCACTCTCACCTGCTGTTAGGGCTACTGAAATAGTTTGGAAAGCCTCAGGCAAGTGCTACAGAGATGAAGATGAAGCTTTTTGGGGGTGACAGACCTAGAAATAATGTCAAAGTTGGTACTAAGTGATTTTGGAACAGAGAAGAGGCTTCTGACACTGCTCGTGGCAGTCAGTGTCCCTCCCAGAAAAACTTCCCAGGTGAGGAGGTAATCCTTGAATAAGTCAACCAGATAGAAAAGAGGTATTCTTAGGCAAAATGAACCAGAAGTAAAGAGACATGAGATGGGGGTGTGTTTGCATCCCCACCATTTCAGTGTAGCTGGAGTGTGTAGAGTATGGAAAGGTAAAAGGCAGAAAATACCACTGAGTCATGAACATGAAGGACCTTAAAAGAAAAAAAACACAATTGTGATAAATATCCTGCAAATGCCTTGCAACTGTATGAAGTACGAAGAAATGTATGAAGTGGTTTTTAGTAATTATTTTTCCATTAGAAAATGATAGAGTAGAACTCAGTGTGCTAATTTATATTAATAGGAGCAAAGGCTTTCCCATTCTCAGCAAAAACAGCTGTTCTGTCTCTATCTGTGCTTTACGTCAGAGGTTGAACATTCACATGTCGTGGGTCAGACATAATGCAGAGGAGTTAGGCAGGCCTGGTATGTCACACACACACATTAGTGACTAAGCAAAGGCGTTAAAAAAGCATTCATATTCAATTGATCTTTGAGTAGTTGGGCTACAAAATATCTGCTATTTTGTACAAGAGCTGCAACTTTGCACTTTCTACTTCAAGTTTCCTAAAGATTCATTATCATCTTTTTCTATTATGTGCATGTCTTTCTTATACACACAAGGAATATTTAAGTGTTAAAACTAATATGGCAATCTAAGGCAAAGAAAAGGGATGTAGGACCAAGTCAGCCAGAAAACTAAGAGGATAGAGAAGTAGAATCTTACTCTTTTCCATGTGCTTCTGTTTTTTAGATTTTTATTTAGCAAATGATGGAGTTCAAGGCAATGTAATACATACATATTCTAATTGGTATATCATGATTAATTTTTTAAAATGCTGTCTGTGCTATACAAAATAAATAAAAATTATTTTGGAACTCTTTTTTAAGATTTATATATTTAAAGATTTTATTTATTTGAGAGAGA